CCTCTCTCTATCTCAAAGTACTAACCCAATCCGAAAAATCTATTTACGATCATTATTATCCATGAAAAATCTCTGTGATTCAGAATCAAAACCCTAATTAAATTTTAAAAATATTTAAGATTATCGTCTCTGATCCAATTCAATTGTTCCAGAAAATGGAGTTCGAGAATCGGTACGGGATTGCTACGACGCAGAAGTACGACTGTCTCTTATTCGGTACGTACTTAACCGGAATAAACCAATCAGTGTTAAATTATATAATTTACATGCAAGAACAGTTTCTTGACCGGTTTATCATTTTTTTTGTTTTACTTTAGATTTGGACGATACGCTTTATCCTCTTAGCACCGGAATTGCAAGAGAATGTGGGAAGAACATCAAAGGTAATATCATTAATTTCCATTCCCTATCGAATTATCGGTTAATAATTATCGAATTATACGCTGATTTTTTTGTTAAATTTTCCGGTTTGATAGATTACATGGTCGAGAAACTCGGTATACCGAAGGACAAAATCGTCGAATTGTCTGATCATTGCTACAAAAACTATGGAACAACAATGGCTGGTCTTAGAGTATGTGATCAATATATCAACCCAAAATTTCAATTTTTTTAAAAAAATTATATATCTTTTTGTAACATTTTTTATCGTTCTATAGGCAATCGGATATGATTTTGACTACGACGAATACCACAGTTTCGTCCACGGTCGTTTACCTTACGACAACATAAAACCTGACCCTGTTCTTCGCAGCCTCTTGCTTAGTCTCCCTCTCCGCAAAGTCGTACGTGACATAATCACATTTTTATTTAAATAATACTACTATACACTATATTATAGTTTTTTTACTAAAATAACTAATCAACATTTTGTTTTGTTATTTCCAATGATTAGATATTTACAAACGCGGATAGAATTCACGCGGCCAAGGCGTTGAAGAAGTTAGGATTAGAGGATTGTTTTGAAGGAATCATATGTTTCGAAACGCTAAACCCGACAAACAAAAACGCTGCGTTTAGCGATTCCGATATTTTTGACATCGTTGGACATTTCGACCGGTCTGAACCGGTTGGTTTACTTCCAAAGACGCCTATTGTGTGTAAACCGTCTGAATCCGCTATCGAGAAAGCCCTCGAAATCGCTAATATTGATCCTAACCGAACGGTATAACGAACCGTA